CGAGCTACAGTTTAACCACGGGTCATCCACAAATAGGTAGTGGAGCTGTATGGCGTTTGGGTTGGGAGCGATTGGCTGTCAGCCCTGGTGGACCCTCCCTCTCCAGAGTGGTCAGCAGATATGACTCAGGTCTCCTCTTCCCTGTCCCTGCAGAGCCATTGGCAAGCTCAGCCTCCTCCCACTCCGGAATGAGCGACAATGCACCTGCTTCCTCTGAGAGCGGCGGCTCCACCCCTGCTAACTGCAGCGCCTCTTCGGCCATCCCGCAGCCTGGCGCGGCCTCCAAGCCCTGGCGCAGCAAGTCCCTGAGCGTGAAGCACAGTGCCACCACATCCATGCTGGCGGTCAAGCCGCCGGGGCCCGAGGCCCCCAGGCCCTCCCTCGAAGCCCTGAAGCCCGCCCCCAACAATCAGAAGTCCATGCTGGAGAACCTCAAACTCTTCAACAGTAAAGGAGGCTCCAAGGCTGGCGAGGGCCCGGGGTCCCGGGACGCAAGCTGCGAGCGCCTGGAGGTCCTGCCCCGCTTCGAAGAGAGCGAAGAGCTGGAGGCCGCCAGCCGCGCTCTGTCCACGGGCGGCCCTGCTTCCAACAGCCCCAAGATCGCTCTCAAGGGCATCGCCCAGAGGACGTTCAGCCGGGCGCTGACCAACAAGAAGGGCTCCCCCAAAGGCAGCGAGAAGGAGAAGCAGCAGCGGGAGAAGGAGAAGGAGAAAGGCAAGGACCTCAGCAAGAGAGCCTCTGTGACCGAGAGGCCGGACCCCAAGGAGGAGCCGAAAGAAGACCCCAGCGGCGCAGCCCTGACCGAGATGCCAAAAAAGTCCTCCAAGATCGCCAGCTTCATCCCCAAGGGCGGTAAGCTCAGCAGTGGCAAGAAGGAGGTGGCGGCGCCTTCCCACAGCGGAATACCAAAACCAGGGATGAAGAGCATGCCCGGGAAATGCCCGGGCGCCCCAGCCGCTTCCAAGGAGGGGGAGCGCAGCCGGGGTGCCAAGCCGAGCTCGGGGATCGCCCCGCAGAAGCCCCAGCTGGACGGCAGACACTCCAGCTCCTCCTCCAGCCTGGCGTCCTCGGAAGGAAAGGGCCTGGGCGGCGCCACCCTGAACCACAGCATCAGCAGCCAGACCGTCAGCGGCTCGGTCGGGACCACGCAGACCACGGGAAGCAACACCGTCAGTGTCCAGCTACCTCAGCCCCAGCAGCAATACACCCACCCCAACACTGCCACGGTCGCGCCTTTCCTGTACAGGTAGGAGCCGCCGCCCTGCCGGGCCCACTGCCGGTGCATGCTGGGACTGCGAGGGCGGATCCCGACCGCCTTCGGATTGTGGAAGCTAATAGCTCAAGGACCACGTGATCGGCTGCTGCCCACGTGATGGGCTCCTGATCACATAGCCTTAGCCAGACCGAGTGCTTCAGGGAGCAGGTCCTACCGCATGCGCTGGGGACGGTGGGAGGAGGCACTAGGAGCTGACCCCGGCTGAGCAGGAGCTGGCCAGGCAGGGGGCCGGCCCTTTAGAAGCAGGGCCAGTAGGTTGCGAGTGCCAGGCCCGAATGTGCAGGATGGGTGCTTGGGTGTCACCTGCAGGCCCCAGCTTATGCCTCAGCATATCCTAAATGTGCTTTCAAATAATAATTCAGAAGCCCCCTTGCTGAATAAGGGCCCTTCTTACAGTGTTTTCCTTGAGCTTCTAACCCGCAAGTCCTCACTAGGTGCTGAGGCGGGTGGTTTTGAGGGGACCAGAGGGAGAAGCAGGGATAGGACAGAGACCAGTTCTACAGGAACAGAAGATCCCGCGCTGCATTGGCGAGGTGAGCCTGGCCGTTAGTGTGACTCCGCCCTTCTGTCCTTTACCCGTCCTCACTCTCATCCCACTGATGGCCCATCCGCAGGACCTTAGAGACCGCGAGGAGCCAGGTGCTGTTTGCTCTGTGGTTCTGGCTCACTGCTCAGAGGCCCCACATGCCTGGGCTGAGGGACGCTCGCTGGCTCTCCATGCTAGCGCCCCCTCCGGGCAGATAGACCTTCCAGTGCTGCCCTTGAGTGAGCCCCAGAGCTCTTGCTCACACTGCTCCACTTGGGCCTGGGCTAGAATGTGTGGGCGGTGGGGTGAGTTTGGCCCCTACACAGTCAGGTAATAACTGACACATGGACATAGCAGAACAGGACTGAGGATGGGATGTTGTGTTCTAGACATATTTTATAGCTCTTGCCCCAAATACACACACAGCCATCCACTCATGGCTGTGGGCACATGTTAACCATCACACATAGGTATGGGTACAAGAACACAGTCATGTATAAAATTCAAACACACATATTTGCATATACCTCTGTAGGTACCTGGGTTATGCCCGTACTTTCAGCGTGTTATGTTTGTGTGGCTCCCCAGAAAATCAGCTTCTCCCTCTCGCCTCCCCTACTTGTGTTCTCCGTAGTCTCTGTTACAATTCCTGCCCATCTCTGGGTGAGTCCAGAGTAAAGCCAGCCAGCGTCCAGCCACAGGAATGTCGGGCATCACCTGGCCCTGCCTGTCTTTTCCTCTGCTCACCCTCCCCTTCAGTGAGGGTCATACCACCGATCTTTTTTTTTTTTTTTTAATTGTTATTTCTTTT